GTTCATGGTTCAGGGCTTGTGGCTTTGTGGGTTTAGGGGTTCATGGTTCAGGGCTTCTGGGTTTAGGGGTTCATTGGTTAGGGTGATCATGGGTTTAGGGCTATTAGGGTTTATGGGCTTAGGGTTTAAGGGTTTAGGGTTTAGGATGGCTTATAAGGTTTGGTCCCATCCACCCCCGCAGAGTTCAAGCACAAACGATCCTAACTAGTGAGTGTCAAGTATAGCAAAGGGCGTCTATGCACTTAGACCCGCGACCCGAAACCCCAAACAAGACCGTGGACCGTAGACCCTAAGCTCTGTGATTTGTGTAGATATTCTAAACCCTAAACCCTGAACCCGAAACCCTACCTGCTCCCCCTAGGTTCTAAGGATCCGCTTCGGCTCAGGGTGTGTCTTTAATATAAGGTGCTACACAAATGCCGGAGCAATCTTGTATAATTATGTATACCACATAACAAACATGAGCAAAATTGGATAAGACGATATTGCAAGGCTAAAACAAGACACAACAAGGTAAAGATGCTTGTTCAGACAAAAACAGTTCAGGCATGTTCAGTTCGAGGCACATGCCTCTTCATATCTGTTTATATAGGGCCTAAGGTAGCAGACATACATCGCGAACCAGCCGGGGATGTTTAGCGCCCACCCTTTTGGAAGAGAAGAGATTCCTGCCAGCCTCCGCCCGCTGACGAGCAAAATCCGCCAGCTGCCATGCTATACAAAGGACTGTCCCATCTTTCCCCCGTGACTTAAGACAAACCCCTAAACCCTAAACCCTAAACCCTAACCCACAAACCAGTGCAGGATTTGGTCCTTCAACGAACCCTGAACCCTACAACCCCAACTCCTAAAAACCCTACAACCATGACTAGCGTGACGCACAAAAACGCAAAATCCCTAGACCCGAAACCCTCTACTAATATAGGGGCCTTAATAATTAGAATAGGGTTTTGGGATATAGCACATTAAAATCAATCCTAATAACAATGATAATAAGGAACCCCCAAGATAGCAAAGGAAATTATTCAGACCCCTAAAGAAAAGAGCCCCACACTGAAAACCTGAAGCCCTCACGCCCCTGAACCTACAACCCCACTGTAGGGGCCTTAACAATTTGAATAGGGTTTTGGGGGTTCCTTATCATAAGTATAGTATACTATACCCCAAACCCTATTCTAATTTTAAGGCCCCTATATTATAACATGCCGGAAAAACCCTCAACCCTAAACCCTAAAACCCTAAGCCCTAAACCCGAACCCCTCATGGCCTCGGTGTTGACGCAAGGACCGGAAGCAGTGCTCTTCCCCGCCCAGCACGCGGCAACTCCTCCAGCCTCAGGGATCCATTTGTTGAGGGCTCAGGGCCTTTGGGTTTAGGAAACCCTAAACCCCTAAACCCCTAAACCTCTAAACCCTAAACCCCTAAACCCCTGAACCCTGAACCCTAAACCCTAAACCCTGAACCCCAATTTAGGACTATACGACTTCGGATTCAAGGCTGTTGGTATTTTTTGCCACCCTGTACCCAAAACCACAGCCGCAAACCCTAAATCCTGTGCTCTGAACGGCCATAAGCTCCTAACCCCCCTAGGCCCTAATTATAAGCCCTAAGCCCCTGAAGAGCTAACCTCCTAAATCCCTAAGAGCCTAAAACTTGCAGATCAAGTGCCCGAAAGCGGCACGAAGCCGCGCAAAGGCGGCGAAATCCGGCAGAGGCGGCTGCCGCGCTTGAAAGATGCCACCATCGCTCGAGCTGTTCGGGGTGTAGCTGTCGGGGATTACAGGGTTGAGGATTTTGTTTAATGTAGGGGCCATGATAATTACTAATACTATTTTGGGGGTTCCTTATCATAATTACAGTATAGCGGGCCCTAAAAATCTATTCTAATCATTAAGGCTCCTATATTGTGCTTGCTTCGTGTTTACAAGGATCTTTAAATTTAAGGTTTTGGGGATTACAGGGTTTCTGAGGTTTTAGGGTTTAGGGTTTTGGATTTTGGGGTTGAGGGTTGAGGCATGTTCGTTAAAGGCCCTTGTTCCACCTGCTGTCCTGCCAACAGAGTCCACGGGTTTAAGATTTGGGATTCAGGGCCTAGGGTCAGAGCTGGGAAGACTCTCTTTTCAAGTGTTCTGCGGTTTGGATAAACGGTCTACCCTGAGCCTTAAACCCTGAACCGAAGTTGAACAGGTCTATGAGAGTTTGCAAGGAGGGATTAGTGTTCAAGCGTTGCAACTCGGGATTAAGGCTGAGGGTTTCGAAGCACACCTATGTATTCACGTGTATTTTCGGCCTATAAGTTGGCGTTTGCCATCGTCGCTAATGTAGGGGCCTTAATAAGTAGAATAGAGTTTTGAGGCCGTGTATATTACATTTATAATAAGAACCCCCCCCAAAAAAAAAATAAAAATAAATCCCTAAACCCTAAACCCTAAACCCTAAACCCTAAACCGTAGGCAATTATTTAGGCTTCTATACTACATGCTGCGAGTTCAGACAGAAAGCCCGAGTGTAGACGCCTGCAGCTATCTGAAAACTCACATAGACCAGCTCTGTAGTTCTCTTAGGGTTTAGGGTTTAGGGTTTAGGGTTTAGGGTTTAGGGTTTAGGGTATCTAGTTGCGGAATGCTTGTGTTTTCGGCTTCACTGGTGGCCCTTAACCCATAACCTAAAGCTCCAAACCCTGTAAACCCTAAACCCTGCAGTAACACCCTCCCTAAGCCCGAAAAACCCTAAACCTCCAGAGCACTCTAACCCTAAACCCTCAGCGCTAAACCCTAAAGTCCAAACTCCTTAAACATGATTAAACCCTACCTGGACCCCACAAAGAAGTAACCTACCTTTTTAAGGACTCATCTAAGGAAATCATAATAAGGAACCCCCAAAAGGAAGTTTTTATGAGGGCCCAGGTCCCAGGTACCCTAAACCCTAAACCCTAAACCCTAAACCCTAAACCCTAAACCCTAAACCCTAAACCCTAAAACTCCAAGCCCCAGTTCTGGCGTCAGGAACTGCTTTTTGGGCCTTCGGGTCGCAAGCTTCTACCGGCCGAGCGCGGCACTGCACCGAACCGCTTTAGGATTCAGGGTACTTAGGTGCTTGGAGGGTTAGGGTTTAGGGTTTAGGGTTTAGGGCTTAGGGTGAGGATTCAGGGTATTTAGGTGTTTAGAGAGTCCGGTTTAGGGTCCAAAGGACTCCATAATAAGGTACTTTGGTTGCGGATAGTAGTTATCTAGGTTAATCTTTGGGAATGTATATGATTATTAGGTACTTGGACCCTTAGGGTTAGGTTTAGGGTCTATAGCTCAAGGGCCTGAGATCTTGAGCCAGCAGGAGAGGAAGTTGGCCGTGAAATGCCCCTGGCCTTGCGCCTGATGTACACAAGGGTTTAGAGTTGAGGGATGGCTGATGCAAAGAGAATCGTGATGAATCGCCATCAGCTCATGCACCGCGCGAGACAGCTGTTTTGAGGCCTCTGATATCTTTTGCAGACGCCTGTCTCTTTCGAAGACGAGGACCCTGATTGAGAACAAAACCCAAGTGTTCACGGGGTAGTCCCCACTCGTTACCGCCATCACTCTGTGAGTCTCTAAGCCTTGATTTGGTAGGGTTTGGTTGATTGGACTAGTTGGCATATAATTCTAGCTTTGTGGGGATTACGGGGGGCTTAAGAAATATATCAGGAGTTCAGGGTACAGGTCATGTGGCCATATCTGGCATGAGTCAGCGCGTGACCTGTGCGCCTTGCGTCTTTGGAAAAGCCTTGACAGAAAGCCCTCAACCCTAAACCCTGAATCCTAAACCCTGAACCCTAAATCCTAAACCCTCAACCCCAAAATCCTAAACCCTAAACCCTACATCCTAAACCCTAAATCCCCCTAAACCCACTTGTTTAGGGAGCTTCACCCCTGAACGCAAACCACGTCAGCCAGCTCTTTTTGCCGCAGGGCACGGTGCAGGGTCGCTAAGATCTGAGCTGCGAAGCTCGTGGTAAGACTGGGTATGAACCCGATTTGGTGGTAGAACTCACCATCTAAGGGCTTTAGGAGGGACCCTTGTAGGTTATTGGGGTTAATATGGAGAATACCTGGCTATATAAGGGGTATATAAGGACTATACAATGGTTATTTAAGGTAATGGTTTTAAGGGTCCTACTAGGGGTCCCTCCTAAAGTCCTTAGACACCAACCCCACGCCCACAACTCCAATTCTGCGAGCTATCGTCACTTGGCGGAAAAACGCGACAGTCGCTTCCCCTCCTATCAAAACCCTATGCCACCTTCCCCTGTGCCGGAGAGCCCAAGATCTCTTGTCAGGTATCCCACCGAAAAGTTAAGATCCCTAAGCCTATAAATCCCTATACCCCAAACCCTGACGCCTAAACCCAAACCCCCAATGCTCTTTCAACGCTTTCCGGTTAGCGGGGCAACGGCACGTCCAGTCATGGAGCCAAAGCTCGCCATTAGCTTAATCCGAACACCAACAATCTCCACCATCACCCCGGCACCACACACCATCACCTGTATTGCCGCTGCCATCCTGGCATTTGAGCTGCTTATCAGAAGAGCCCCAGTTCATATCATGAATCCTCGAAAACCCGTTATACAAAAAAAACACATCATCCAACCCCTACAAAAGAATTTGACAAACCTATATACACCAAACCCTAAACCCTGGACAGAGCAAACTCTTATAAACCCTAAACCCCAACCCCCTCTCCATCCTAAACCCTACTAGAACCTCTTTACTAGAACCAAACCCCAAACCACAAACCCCAAACCCTAAACCCTAAACCCAAAACCCAAAACCCTAAACCCGGACCCTAACCCTTAGCCCCAAACTCTAAACTCTAAACCTCAGACAGCAGGCCTACCAGCTGCGGCTAACCCCCTATAAAGAATCTGAGGGCTCCCCGGCCCCGGCTGACCCAAGCGGAGCGCGCTCAGGAGCTCTCTGGCGCTTCCGTCGGGGCTGCGCGGGCCGCCTCCGTCGCTGCTGGCGCCTGGGATTTCGGGGTTTAGGGGTTTAGGGGTTTAGGGTTTAGGGTTGAGAGTTTCGGGTGTAAGATGTAGGGTTTGGGGCTTACGGTGCAGGATTTAAGGTTTGGGGGTTTTGGGTTAGGGTTTCAGGATTTATAGTTTGGGGTTTGTGGTTTAGGTTTTGGTGTTTCAAGTCAACCGGTACACTTCTCGATTTATTCGTGTCCTCCTTGCGCAGGGGCCATGCCAATCCTCTCTGTATCGCGTCGGACTTACCCTAAGGCTCTTATGGCTGTTATGAGCCTTCTAGGGGAAGGTTTGGGCTTTGGGGGCTAAGGTTTGGGCTTTCACTATGGGGATCCATAGCCTTAGGGTAGTATACGGAGTAGACTTTGTGAGTTAGGGGTTGATGGTTGATAGCTCAGACAGTCGGCTTCGATTCAGGGTTCAGTGCTTACAGTTTCAGGTTTGGGGCTTAGGGTTTAGAGGGTGTCGGGGTTCAGAGCTTAGAGTTTAGGGTTTGGTGTTTAGGGTTTAGAGGGTGTCTCCTACAGAACCTTATGTGTTCTCCAAGCCTGTTGTGAGTTTGAGTAGGCCTGACGTGTTCCCACTGGCTGTTGACTGTTGTCTACGCAATGTCATCTTCGAGGCGGAAAGCATGCGCAAACACCAGTTGTGTTTAATTGTTTTAACCGGATCTCGACACCGGACACTGCAGACGGGCGCAAGCAGAACCAACTCGAGCTGGTCAGGTATGAACCGCCGACCACAACTCCCGCCAGCTCCCGCACGCTATTAATACAGTGTGCCTGAACAGCTGGCATAAAGGTTTCGGGGTATACTCTGCTGTAGCAATCTTTGCCCGACAAGTGGCCCCAAACCCTACAAAATAGAATTTTGGGTGTATATGCCAACAAAACCGTAGGTTATTAGATCCACTGGTATTCATTACTAGCACCTCGTCTCGACCCTAAACCCCTAAACCCTAAATGCCAAAAACTTAGACCTAATCTCTAAATCCTAACTATTTCAGATCCTTCTTTGAGGTTCATGGGCAGTTATACGTGGGGTTAAAAGCCCCTAACTTACTATAGTACTCTAGGCTATAACATGTTATAACAAAGCTTATCCTACGTCCTGCGCATAACCCTACATGTGTCTCCCTAAGGGTCCATGTGCCCAAATAGCAAAAAAACTTCGGCCTCAAGAAGCAATGTGGACCCTTTATTTAAGGACTATACATGGACCTTAACCCCCCAGAACCCAAAACCCTAAACCCTGAACCCTAAACACTAAACCCAAAGTCTTTGTTGCGCAAACTTTGCCTCGGTCGCAGTCTGCTCAGCGGGCTTTGCCGCGTCGCCTCCGACTTCCATGGGCTTGTCTGAGGGTTTATCAGGGTTTAGGATTTAGGGTTTAGGGTTTTAGGGTTTAGGGTTCAGGGGTTGAGGGTTTAGGGTTTAGGGGTTTAGGGTTTAGGGTTTAGGGCTAAGGGCTAGGGGTTTGGGGTTTTAGTTTGTGGGTTGAGGTTTTCGTGTGTTTGAAGGTTTACGGTGGTTTAAGAATTTAATTTGGGTTAAGGGTTCGGGTTTTAGGGTTTAGGCTTCGGACTTAGACCTGGTGGATGGCGAAGCTGCTTCAGGGAGTATCACGTGTACTGCCGGGTGGGTAGGAGGTTGGTACGGTAGAAGTGCTTAACATCTCAGAATGTCCTTGTCAAAGGCAATTGGCAATGGGGGTTGTCGTGTGCGTCTAAACAGCACGGAAGA